TTGCGCCTGTTCAAGGGGACTCCAAAAATCAAAATGCAAAGTTGCATACCAGTTATATGAATTTGGGCTGCCGGACAAAAGAAAACAAAGAAGAGAATTTCGGCCTTTTTTAGAGTCAAACATGGGTTCGGACTTCAAGGTGAAAATTATAAGGGTTCGGGCTATGGTGACAATTGAGATTTAAGACAAGAAGTAAAAGGTTTTGTTGAGCCAGTCTTATGAGCCCAAAGTGTATGGTCTATATTGCAGTATCATGGAATGTCGGCCTTGGGCCACTCTCTTTAGGCTTTTACACCATGAAAAAAAAAAAATCGTGAAGACTTTTCTAACGAGAGATCATATGATCCCTTCCCATAATTAATGGTCACGAAAAATTCTTTTCAAATTTTCATCCATCACATCATTTCTCTATTATAAATACGAACTATGTAATGTCCTTACTTATGATATCAGACACTAAAATCGTGGCATATCAGCTGGAGATACACATTCTCCTCTATTAAATAAAATTTCTATATTATACAAATAAAGAAGGTTAACTCTTATCCATTGTCTCTTGTTCATAAATTGCATTTGAATAAGTGTCCAAATTAGGGGTGGCAATGGTGCCATGCGATGTTAAGGAGTCTCTCCCCATCTTTGTTTTTAGGAATGATAAGAATGGGGATTTTTGTGAAGATTTTATCTCCGTTCCCATTTCCTAGGAGAATCCTCATTTTCCATCATTTTATATTAAAATATTAATTTTTTTACTTATAATAAATTAATATCTAATTATAATAAATAAAATTTTAAAAGTTTAAACACAATTAATTAAAGTTTTTTAAACATAAAATCAAATATAAATTATCAAAATATAAACAAAGATAAATCCAACATATTCTAAACCGATGAAATTATTCCTTATACAACAATAATAACATCTATATTCTACCTTTACAGATTGCAAAAATATAATTAGTTGTAACCAATAAAGTTAACAAACAAGTGATAAAATCAAATATAAATCAAATATAAATTATTCAAATATAAATAAAGATCAATTCAACATAAATAATTGAATTAGATTTGAAATGCATGAATGTATTAGGTTGAATTAAATTTAAAATAAAATGAACTTATATATTTTTTAAAATTTGTCGTGGGGAAGGAGATCCATGTGAGACTCACATGATGGGGAAAATTTCCCACATAAATTCATGGAAGAAAAACCTCCTATCTTTGCCCTGTGAAAAGGAATATTTCTCCTCGCCTTACTCTCATGGCGGGAATTCCCACGTGACTCTGCAGAGATCGAGGAAAATTATCATCCTTAGTCCAAACTGGCCATGGTATTTATTCATCAGACACATCATGCAAGTAAAATACAAATAAACATTAAGTTTATTGTAAAAAAGAGGATTAAATTATTTAAATAATAAATTCATGAACTTATTTACTTTAATAAAAGTTTAGGAATATAATTGAAAATTAAAAGAAAAAGAAACCTCATCAATTCCTGTCTATATAACTCATACGCAAATCCTTCCGTGGAAGAGATCATAATCAAATTTGTTTGAGGCCAAGTCCTACTTCAAGTTTATATATCCTCAAAAAATAAAAAAATAAAAAAAAATTGCTGCCACTTTGTAAGTTTTATTCTCCAACCTACAATGAAGTTCACTTGATAAACTTGGTTTCATTTCAAGGTTTTTGGTATCATATTTAAAGTACCATTTGGCATTTCTTTTACCTTTTTTTTTCCCCTTACATTCTCGAGTGGGGTTTTTAGTGCATTTTTTACTCTTATATCTCAAAATACTTGTTATTTTTTAATTTGAAATTTATATAAAATTAATTATTATTATTTTATTCTTAAAAAACAAATATTTTCTTTTATATTTTAATCATATTATTATTTATTTATTTTAGTTAATCATCTTATCATAAAAAATTATTATTTTTATAATATAAGCAAATACAAAAATTATCATTAAATTTTTAATTTTTTTAAAAAAACTTAATTATTTGGAAACAAAAGAAACAAATTCATAACACTACACAACAATTTTATAGAGTTTTAATTTTTTTTGTTTTTAATTTAATTTTTAAAAACAAATTAAAATGATAATACCACTATAATACTAAGAAGAGTTAACTTATTTTATCATCTCGATTACATAATTAAAGAAAATAATCCGAACTTAAAAAAGCCACCAGTATAATATTTTTGCGTGTTGAAATAGCTAGATATAATTTTGTATTGTGTGCCCCTTGTTACCGTATCAC